GAATATTAACATCATGTAAGTAACCAATAACCTGTCTAGCCACGTGGGGACGAGCATTTTCCTGCATGAATAAAAAATTGGGCCCAACAAACGAAGCAAAAGGATTACATGTTCGACAATAATGTTGTCTAAGTATTATTGGGCATTCATAGACCTCGTACGTATAGGGACCAACTCCGTAGGAGCATCGAAGCAAATTCCTCCCCAAAACATTTTAGAGCCACCACCAAAAGGTACTTTAGGAGAAATATTACAGCTGGCAAACCTTTCTCCTTGTCTTCGTCAGACACGCTCACGTCCATCTGGAGTTTTAAGGTTAACTGTAGTTTCATCGGAGAACAGAACCCGTGTCCAATCATTGATGGTCCAATTCTGATGTACTCTTGCAAAATTTAATCTCTGAACTTTGTGTTCTCTGGTAAGCAAGGGTTTTTTGAATCGTCTTCTGTTGCTTAATCCTGCTTCATGTAAACGTCTTCTAACCGTTAGAGATAATATAGCGATATTTCGAACATCTGCTAATTCATTTTTAAGCAGATTGCTGGTTACTCTCCTGTCTCTAAGAGCACGTTGTCTCAAAAAACGATCATCAATTTGATTAGTGCAACGTTTTCGTCTTTGTCCTGGTTTTCGATGGTACGAACCAGTTTCATTATGTCGCCTCACTATGAAACTGATGCTAGAATGATGTCTTCCTAACAAACCAGCAACATATCGCATTGAATCAACTTCCAAACATGCATGTAATAAAAACAATTATAATCAATAGCTTGCTTCTAACAGAAACTTTGCTTTAATCAGCACTTTTTAAGAAAATGTTAGTCTAAAACGAGGTTTAATACGAATTACTGTCAAAACAAGGTATTACGTGACACTAGCTAGCTTAAAAAACAACTGTCATTATCAGACAAGGTCCAAATCGTACAGTAAATTATCAATAAATAAAGATTATCGAGGAGTGTATAAAACAATATTTTTGCTATATTTCATATCTTAATTTTCTGATTCTCCAGTTTTTTATTTATATTTTATTTCATACCAATATGTTAATGGCTTGCTAAAAGAATTTGTCCAAAATATCTATAGTTGCTCTATTCAAAGGCATCCTTTCTATCATAACATTTAATATTGTTGATTGGTACTTTTCTGCCTTTTAAATTATTATCAGTACAGGCGTATCTCAAGGCTCAGTAGTAGCTCTAACATTATTCCTATATCATATTAATTATTTTGGCCTCCTCTAACCCTATCAATATATAGGTTTGTAGATGTTGATTTCCACTAAATCAATATTTTACAGCATGTCAGACTTTCTAAGACAGATTATTTCTTTTCCTCAAGGGAATTTTTAACAGCAATTGAACTGCAAAACTTGGAGCATTTTCAATCTTTCAAAACACATTTAACTTAAATCTAAACTTTAACCGTACTTGATAGAAATAATTAAGTTTTTTATGACTGCAATTATCCGTAGCTCATTTTTTACTTTTCTTGTAATTATGATGATGATGATGAAGATGATGGTAATTAAGCTGCTATTATTATTTTTTTTTTGCAATTTTTGTAATTGCCTCTGGGTATTCTATTTTACATGTTTGTGGTATTCACATCCATAATTATTTTCTATAACATGATGTGCTACTGGGATAATCAAAATTGAAGTGAGATAATTTTTGTCAAATATCCCAGGAAACGGATCTGAACTGCTATTCTAATAAAATATAAACCAGGACTATTTTTCCTGTTCCATCAATTTACAGTGCTTGCTCACTATAGATCTGATATCGTGATACAAAAAATTACAGAGATATGATACTATGTGGACGAAATCTCGTTTAGTTCGCGCATGACGTATTGAGGTGTGGAATATGATTATCTCATTGGCCATGAGCAGATGTAAATTTATTTTCGCGCTCTGTTTTCGATCATCTGATACCTAAAATACGTAAAAGCCATCTTTTCTAGGGGTCATCATATACTTATCTTCTTTTCCATTGGTTTAAATTTAGGCGGCATTCTTGTTATTGTCTCCTTATCTTTTCTGGGGGTCATTCCCAATAAACATTTACGGTAACCAGAATTTTTATAGTAGATATACATTATGTCCCCCTAAGTTGGAATCATATGGAAAACTTTTTTATTATTAACTTTAGGAAAAAAATTATTCTTTATAAAAAGTTCTGCATTATCTAAAACCTAGAATACAATCATCAAATATCAAATTTTTTCAGTGGTATACGAGGTTTGTCAAAAAATATGAGTTTTACTCAAGAGTAAAGTAGCTTTATTCTTTATACGACTAATAAAATTTGATATCTGACGGTTGTATTTTAGGTTTTAGACTATGCTCGACTTTTTATAAAAAATTAATTTCTTCCCAATATTAATAATAAAAAAGATTTTCATATGCCGCCAATTTACGTAGACAGTTGGTGGCATAGGAAAGCTTTTTTATTACTAATTTTAGAAAAACTTTATAAAAAGTCGAGCATGGTCTAAAACCTAAAATACAACCATCAAATATCAAATTTTATCAGTCGTATAAAGAATAAAGGTACTTTACTCTTGAGTAAAACTCATATTTTTTGACAAACCTCTTATACCACTAAACAAATTTGATATTTGATGACTGTATTCTAGGTTTTAGATAATGCAGAACTTTTTATGAGGAATAACTTTTTTTCCTAAAATTAATAATAAAAAAGTCCATATGATTCCAACTTAGAGGGACACTGTATAATAGTAACAAATTTATATAAGTAGGTTTCGGAGTTTTATAACCTGTACCTTTTGGTAACCAGGTTTTATAATGGTTTCATAACATTACTAGCAGTTATGGGTATATAACAAGGTAACAGAACTATTTCCAGCACCATTTTATAAAACTTTAAGTAACGGTTACTAGTGGTTTTATAAGAAGGTGACATATGGGTTACCGTAACTCTATTTATATAACTAAAATACCTTAAGTTTTTAATGGTGTCCTAAATTACCTTTATAAAAACTGGTAAGAAGTAGTGTTGACTATATTTGTCATAAAACTATTGGTTATTATATCGCCTCTTTTATAAAACTTTGCAACCATCAGTAATACAAATTATCCTAGTATAACTGTCATTTGTCATTTTTGTTATTTTTTAATTATATATGGCTTATGGCTTGCTGATGAGTAATATTTTTGTAGTGAGATATTATTAACATGAATAACTAGAAAAAACTAAACACAGCACGCCATTTCGTCGTAAAATAATAAAAAAAAATTACAAAGATATTATACTCCTCATTATATAACCTGAAAAGTGTAAGTAATAACCTGAAAAGTGTGACGACCGAATGAAATCGAAATCAAACTGATGATGAAGAAACACAAATTCTTGATCAAAGTAATGATATCTATCAGTACAGCAACTTTACCTTTATTACATGTAGCTGAAAATGAGTCCGTGGACTTAGTTGACAATAATGAATACCACAATAAATGGTCGTATGGTAAAAACATATTTCTTTTTTTAGAGCAGGGCTGTGGCATCCAGTCTGCCTCCGGTCTGGAATTGCCATCGCGTATTTTTTTATGTATAATGCTTTTTTTTGACAGGAGGCCAACAAAAAGTGCCATCTTTTTCCCAAGCTGATGGGACTATTGTAAGTAGATGCCCCTTAGCCCCCGGTTCTATTTTGAAAGACATAGTGGAGATAATTTAATAATTTCAGGTTATGGTTGCTCGTGGACGGAGGTTAAATTTTTGACATCACGTTTGACAGTTTGACAGAAATAATTTACCGTTTTGGTTTTATTATCAAGTGTTACTACAAATTAAATAAAGGAATTTTATAGGTTGTTAAGTTTTATATTGCAACTATAAGATATATATTGTTACTACCAGTTATATAATATTACTTTTAGTGATTTTAATGACGTCTTAAGTTATATAAGGGTACTCGTGATTTACAAAAATCTTAAAAATACTGTAAATGAACCATAAATACAAAAACTTAATAATTAACCTATTTTTTTAAATAAATCTTAAATAAACATGTTTTGGTTCTGATGATATATCGGAATAGTAAATGTTAGTAATAATCTGTGAAATTAAATTTGGTTAATATATTTAAAGTAAAAATATAAACTAAAAATAATTATTAGTGGAAATTATAGTGGCCCTTAACATTTCTTTGAAGTATCTCATTAACCTTCGCAATGAAATACGATTCCCACCAAAATTTTAAGTCACCCAACAGTCAGTAAAGTCCAACAATAATAGTACATAGGTTTTTTTAATTTTATCGTGATTCTCCATTTTTGTTTCTATCGATGATGCCTAACCAGAACATACAATTTTATTTTATTTTATTATTAGAACAGAGGAAGATTATAAATAAATAAGTGTATCTGAGAGAGAGGAATAAATAGGTTTTTACAAATGACAGAGTGAGAAATGTCAATGTTCAAGTAACGAAACTCTGGTAACGGAAACATTACCAAATCTATTATAGGCAAGTTATATAAAGGTTGCCTAAAAATGAACAACACTATATTATATTACTATAGGTGTTCAAACGAATTTATTTGTAAGTTATTTAGTGGTTTCCACAATTTTTCTGTTACTGTTACTTATACAACTTTTAGTTATTAGCGTTACTAAACAAAGGTGTTCGCAACCTTTATAAATGCCCCATTTAAGCTCTTTAAGAGGTTTATAGCAGCAAGAGAAATGTTACGGTTGCCAAATATATAACTGTAAGTTTTATAATTAAGGTGTTGTAAAAGTAACGGTAACTACTATACAATCAAAAATGTTTATTGGGTTCCATACTTAATTTTTTCTAAGGACAATTGCTTACATGTTAAATTATGGAAGATTAAATTATAGAATTGGTCATCTCATACTTCTCTTCGTTCCTCTTGCAAGTCAGTCAGTTTGGCTTCTTATGAACCCTTAACTTTTTCATTTATGCAATGAAAAATAAGCACAAAGACTAAATAATTGATTTTGTTTCAGGTTTTACGAAAAACTCGAAAACGCAAAATGGCCCTGGCGGCCAACAACAAAACGGATGCCGACAAAAAGGCATCCAAAGAAAAAGAAGCAAATTCGAACACGAACACCATCAAAATTGACGCTACAACGTGGAAAGGCCGTTATAAATTTTTCATAGAAAATATAACCGTAGAACCAATGCTCGCATGCTACATTATCCCCAGCGTCTTAGCGAGTCTCGCCACTCAAAATCTTAATCTAGAAAAAGCCTGTAGAGTTAATTTAGGATATTCAACAGAAGTTTGCGATGCCCTCACCGAACGACGTACGCAAAACTACACCTTTGAAGAAAGAGAAGTACAACAACTAGTGGCTTCGATGGGTGTGTGGAAGACGATGCTGCAGAGTGCACTACCAGCCTTCTTGATAATGTTCATTGGCTCTTGGAGCGATCGATGGGGCAAGAGAAAACCTTGTATGTTGTTTCCGATAGTCGGAGAATTTATGACAGTCGTTGGGCTTATGATATGCACTTTCTTCTTCTACGAGCTACCCATGGAGGTAGCTGGGTTTATAGAAGGGTTCTTTCCAGCCATCACGGGAGGATGGTTCACTATGTTCATGGGCATTTTCAGTTATATAGCAGACGTTACAACAACGGATGTGAGGACTTTAAGAATCGGAATAGTGAATGTCTTTTGTTCGCTGGGGATACCTATAGGTCTTGCGTTAAGTGGAATTCTCTACAAAAAAATCGGATTCTACGGAGTGTTTTCTATCTCGGCAGTTATGTATATTGTGGCTCTCTATTATGGATACAAGTCGATCAAGGAACCAAAGAAACTTGACAAGCCGGTATTGCCCGATCAACCTTGTGCTTTTATTCGAGATTTCTTTGATGTAAGGCATTTGTTGGACACCTTTAAAGTCGCTTTCAAGAAGGGCGAAAACAAACGTAGGAAAAAGGTTATGTTGTTGATGCTGGTTGTTATGGTCGTTATTGGACCTATGCATGGTAAGTTTTTCGTTTTGGAGAAATATATTTTATAACTAGTAAATTAAGAATTTATAGTATTTATTTTCAACTCAATAGTTAAAAACCAATTATAGAATGGGACGGACATAGAAAAAATACATTATGATCGTTAGATACATCATACTTATGATGAATTAAAACAAGTTGAAAGCGTCTGATATGACTGAACATAAAAAAAACATTTTTTCGAGAAAAAGTTATATTTGACTATTTAGAAAAGCATAAAATACTCTTAAAATATCACACAAAAATGAACAATTATATATAAAATGCAGTGGTAAATATACATAAAATACCTACCTATCAACTTTACAAACAGAATTATTATAAAAAGCTATCTGTGTCTGTAACGCGTGGAGGATGTGTTGCCTCCATGGCAATAAAGCCTCCGCAGGCCCATTGGGCATCCTCCTAAATTGATAGGCCTCTCTTAGCTCAGCCAGCCTACAGATTTAATGCAGTTAACAATTTCACCGAGAGGTGCTTCTCATATCCTCAGCAGAGTGCCGGATTCTTGATAGCTTCATTCTATGGAAATGATTACGTACCTAGGATTGATTAGTCAGAATGCCTGTGCCCAGGCGCAGATTCTGTATATACATAGTCAAATATTTATTTGCTGTGACGTCTTTGGGATAACTTAAAAGTTTTTTGGCAATTTCACAAGGAGTTTCTCTTCAATTAGGTTTGTTACTACCCATGTTGTCAGTCCAATGAAAGGGCCAGGTCCTAAAAGTATTTGGTTGGCTACCTTCTTGGAGTGAATCAGCAAGACGGTTACCATTCAATTTTGCGTGACAATACATCTTTAGGTAACCACATTACTGATGGATACTTCAGTCAAAGCTTCGTGATATTCTAGTACCTACTTGTATTCTTTTGCAGAATATGTTCTTAAAATTTCCTGCTTGCATAATGACCAGGTCATTTGTATACTCTATTGTGTGAATACTGTTATTATTGAGGCGGCTGATGAGGATGTCTAGGAACATATTCTACAGTAGAGGTGATAGTATCACTCCATGTGAGCATCTCCTCGCAACCAAGCCTCTTATATTCATATCATCAAAATTTATGTTTACTGGTCGCTTTGAGAGGAGCATGCATCCACCCACTAACCGTTTGTGAAACATTCCCATTAGTTAGTGAGTGTATTATCTTGGGGAAGGTGGTCTTGTCAAAAGCACCTTCTGTGTTTATAAAAACACCCAAGGTGGACTCTTTATTGTTCAGTGATCTTCCTATCCAGATAGCAATTAGGCGAAGGGCTGAATTGATTGATTTTGATTAAAATATCCCTTATGTATCCTAAGCATAGCCTTTCCAATATCTTCATAGAAAACATGGCTTATTGACCTGTATGCTTTTTTGGACAAGGTAATATATTGGACAAGGTAATATATCCTTCTTGGTTTGGCTATAAAGACCACTTTTATAACAGGTGGGGTTTGAGTTATTCTAGACATCCATTGAATAGATACCGTCAGGTCCTGGCAATTTAAATGGCGCGTTTGGCAGTTTTGACAATAGTAGATAGACAGGTTGTATTTTTGATCTGCCCAATCGACCATGTCAGTAATAACTGAGTCAAAGAAGTGTTTTGAAAGAAGAAGCTTGAAGCTATTTTTGAGGTTTGCAGTTTTTATACTATTATCTTCGATTAGCGCATCGATACTGCAGTAGTAAAGTTTTTCTACTTTAGATAGTGTTCGAGTACTTTTACAAAGCTTTGTAATGGCCAGGTGTTTTAGCCGTCACTGCTTGCAGAGCCTTTTGAAGCATAGGTTGCCCTGTCCGTATTCCTAGGGCTTCCAGATATAAATACCTAATATGTATTGCAAAAGCCCTATATCTTTTTTCACATTAGAAATATCTAGGCTGCCTTGAAGGCAATGATAATTGCTAATTATTTAAAAAATTGGAGCACGGTTTACAATATTTGTATTATTAGTAGCTGACACATAGAAAGTAAGTTCTAAGGCCAGGGCGGCGTACTGTAATGTTAATGTAATGGATCTCAATGTAATCTAGCCTTTCATATAAAATATTTTTTGAAGAATTTTCTTGGTATTTTTTTTTCAGATATCTGGCTTTGTTGCATCTTATTCAGATCCCAGGTTTCACTTCCAAAGAGTACTGTAGGTCTTATTAATGTGTTCAATATTCTTTTTCTTTTGATATGCCCGAAAACTGCTTTGTTTTTTATATTTAATATATCCCTCCATCTTTTGCCCTTAGCCAGTATAAAATCGATCTCTGCCACTATTTTATATTTGCCGTTAAGCAGTACTCTTAAAATATGTAGTTGCGTGATTCTTTTTGATCTATTGTTCTAAATTTTGGATTTTTAACTTAAATGATTTATTGGTTTATCCATTTTTGAGTCATTTCTGATCCTCATAATATACTGACTTGGACTGACTCTTTTCTCACTTTCCCGTTCTTCTTTTATATTTGTTTTTGGAACCACATCATCTGCATATACTAAGCATTGCTGTCTTTTGGTTAGGGACCTTTATTTAGGAATTTTTTATAATATTCTCTAACGCCAAGTTGAATAACTTAGTAGACAGCGGGTCTCCTTGCCTTAATCATTGTTCAGAGTAGAAGCGACAAGAGTTGAGATGCGAAAGCGTTGCGTCCAGCGACTAGTCGTCGGTAGAACAACCTGGCGTTACGAAAGGAAAACGTTTAGAGTGAGAGCGACCAGCGATGCGATATCTGAAATGTAAATCGCGTCTCTCGACGCAACGCTATCGCATCGCGATGTTCGCCGCTTCTACTCTGAACTATGCTTTAGATATTTTATATTCATTCTTGTCTTCTCGGTCTACTAAGCTATTTGCTGTCTCTTCAAGTGACATTTCTATTAGTATACATAACTTCTTTGGTAAATTAAAACACTGATACTCTTCTAATATATTTTACGTTTTTTTCTCTAATCGTCTTTTTATAGTAATGGCCAACGACAAGCTAGTAGATTAATTTTGTTTACAAAAACTAAATTGCAAGCATTTATACTGTGCCAAATTATTATGAGAGAGTCTGGGAGAGTCTTGTTACAAGCAATGTTTATGGTTATAATTCGGAATTGACTTAATAAGCTTCTAAAAAGAACAAAAGGCTTTAAAAATTACATTCAGGAAATATATTTGCATTTCTAGTGTCAGTTATTATTGGGTTAATGTCTTTTTCAGATTACAATTATTATTTATTTACAATCTGGCAACGGTGTAAAGCAGGAATCATAGTAGTACGACTTGGTTAAATTGTGAAACGCCTGCTCGTAACTTTGATAAAAAAAGTTTGCACAAACCATCCTCACTCAATTTAGCAGCTGTTTTGCCCTTTCTAATGCGCAGACAGCTGTCGCAACAGCTGTCTGCTTAGTATACAAAATCTAGATTGTTGTATCTAATAAGAGGTAAAATATGAATGAGTATAGCAGTTTTTTTGTCGTTAGTTATGGCAAATACTTTGTTTATGGTATTAAATATTGCTATTGCTCTGTAGTTTTTAAAGTCTAAAGCATCTCCTTTATTATGTAACAGTGAAATCATTATTTTGTTTAAAATCGCTGCGTTTTTTGATCTTCCAAATCTCTCGTATTATATCAGAAATCATTATATAAATCAAAAAGAATTACACTCACTAAAAAAGATTAAAATAGGTAGCCCGATTGTGGTCAAATAATTAACTTCATTGAACAATAATGTCAATGTTAATTTTTAACTGTTTAACATTTCTATTATCGATAGATATTAATTATCAATTATTAGATTTATTGAATTGCCTAGTTTTGATTTTTTTTTATATTTAATATATAATTTTTGTTGGAAAAACCATTATTAATTTTAGATAATAAATTTTAAATTGTGATTATATAATTCAATTAGTATACAATAAAAATGACCGTGGTGTAAATAATTACTAAATTCAAGCCATAAAACAAATCTGTATGGGAAATGTTTTGTATTCGATGTTTAGGGACTAACAATCTATTATAATTTATGATTTATTGTGTTTCATATAATGTGCTAACTTTTTTATAGGTAGTTATTTAAAAGGGTGACTGTACGAATATTAAAAATATTAGAGACAATGTGGAACAGCCAAATAAAATAAATTCAGTATATCAATTATTGTGAATATTTATAAAAATTCCGAGATACGTCAATTTAAAATTCTCAAATAATATTTTGATCCTAAATTCAACTTCTTTCGAGAGAGAATTGCAAGTCCAAATTTTTAAATTGGAAGTTGGGACTTGTGATACCTCATTTAAAAGACATTTATCGCCAACCATTAATAAAGCCATGCATTACCAAACAAACACTACCTCACTGTAAAAATCAAATATTTTATCTGCCGCTAATATTTATCAACATATCTATGACCGTCTGACAGAAATGGTCTGTGACTGATTTGTTTTGTATTCGCTGTTATTTTTCTGTGCTCCTCAAGAAATCACTTGAAGTAATTAATGCGCAACGAGGAATCTCTAGGGAGTAATGCCTGGACTCTTTGAATATGATGTCGGTATAACAAATTTTCAATGAGAATTTTCCAAACAAGTACATGTGAAACAATAAATGATGCCGCGATTTTCCTCGTGCTAGTTTCGGGGCTTTCCTCAATTTTATGTAAAATTTCTTCTTTAAGTTTCGGTGTTCTTACTGTTTGATGGACTCTTTTAGCCCTGTGGTCTACTTTTAAAGTTCCGGTCTCGTGTAGACGTCTCTAAATCCTAGAAAATGTTCTCGGATCGAGTAGTACGCGATTTGGATACCTCTTGGTATGTATATCCGCCATCAGCCTGGCTTCGTATGCATTTCCGTTTGCAAACCCATAAGTAACATGCATGTTGAGTGTTCGTAAAATTTACCATTCTTTATCAGATTTTACCTTTTACTCTAATAATAATTATTCAATATTGTAAAATGTAAGATGTCTTTTTCAATTTGGTTGTGAAAGATTAG